TAGGTAGGGCGGAATTAAAAAAAAATCTCAAAATCAAAGTAAAATAATAAAATAAAAGGGCATCAATAACAAATATAATAAAAAATAAAATTAAAATAAGTTTATAGCCAAAATAATTAAAGCCCGTACACTACATCAGATTTTAATCAGATTGTGGATGATGTAAAAGACTTCGTTTGTAGTTTGCGTGAATGGTCGGGGAGAAAAATTCATGCAAATTCTGTGCTTCAGTAACAGTATTTGCTTCTTCATTTTTTGTGCAATGGAAATTAATACAAGAAATGCTGCCAATAAACATGTCCTTCTAGTACACAAAACAACCCTGGGACGTTTATCTTGAGAAATTGGGAAGACAAAAAAAACCTGGAACAGTCGTGAAACACTAGACATGCTTCGCCAGGGTATCATGTTTATTTTGATTATTTGAAGATGGAAACTGCTGCTTTATGGAAGAGCAAAGTTCAATGTCATTGGCACAGTAATGACGTTCTTAGAGGGGTGACTCGCTAGAGAGTATTCGCCGTGACTCCAGACTTCTCGTTTGGGTTCTGTCACCAAACTGTACGTTTTGACGACTCGTATGCACTTCTGGGACTTGTAATAATTTTCTGGAAAATGCATAGCAAATCACATATTTTCCTTATCAACTGTTCATAGTTTTTATTTTCAGTTTTACTGTTCATAATTATTTACAGTAATAACACATTTTTCCGATTGTGTGCATGACAGCTTTGCCCACACACAATAAGACAGGATGATATGTACGGATATGTGTGAGTATGTTTCATGGATTAATAGGTCACTCCTTTGCGTCAATTCCAACTACATCTCTGGAATATCACTTTCTGTTTATCATCCATATTTTGATATCTCACAATGTGTCGATTGCGTATCTGGAAATTCTAACTACTATTTTGCAGAATTTGACCAGCCTTGCTTTTACCAGTCATTTAAGTCAACTCCCATATTTTCCTTCACAGTGAAGGTTAATGTAGATATATTGTAAATTACACAGAAGTAACATTACAATACATTTCCCTTCACATTCCTCTGTATTACATAACAATCTTTGAGCTGAGGCAGTTCTCTTGTATTTAATATTATTTCTATGCATATTACGCCAGCCACGGCAACAAACCACGATAATTTCGTTTGCACAAGATTGTCCTTCCTATTTGCGTGATTGCGTAACCATGCGTATTCCTGTTTTTCGATTCATGCACTTTTCTCTGATAATTGCCCATTGAAAAATCTATTGATGCCAAATATGAAACACTGCCCATTGTTTACTATAAAGGGCTTGTTATTGGAATAAATTATAAGTTTACAAATAAAGACAACATAACAAATTTTAGGGACGAAGGAAAAATTACTATAGAGTGGACATTAAAAACTTTAATGAGATGCGAACATAGAAAAACTGTGTAAAATATTTTTAAATTGTTTTTTTTTTCCACTATGGAATATTCGTTTTCTCTGAGATATAGGTGTGCAGATTTGTTCTTTTCATTTATTAATCCCTGTCGGATTTTCCCCTGTGCAAAAATTATTTGTTTTCAATTTCAATTTCGCTTTCGTCTAGAGTTTCTAATAGTTAATCCCTGGTACTAAATTCTAGAAAATGGCAATCGTTGCTATCGTCTGTACATATCAACTGATATGTCCTCATCTCCACTCAGATGGCGTTTGCTCCCAGCAAGCGTCATGCACATGAGTTTGTGTGTGTGTTTGTCGAGAGTGCTCGACGATGTCACCCTAACCCAATGCTACCGTGACGTTCAGAAGCCACTAGCGAAGTTAATATGTCAGTAGTTAGTAGACATAATTATACATTACAGGAAACGACAACGATTAACTTCAGGTGTGATGCATGTACGCTTAAACAATGCGAATCAATAACTTTGTGTGAAATGATGACATTTATTTAAAATGATGAAAATTGCGAGGAACCTGAAATTGCAAAAGAAAATTAGCTTTGAGTTAGCTACGGAGACGGTAATGCAGAAATAACTCGCCATACTGGTTTGAAACAAGAAGGTGCTCCCGAAAGTTGGCTAAATCTGAGGAAGGTGGTTTAATTTGCGACCAACCAGCTCTAGAAGAATAATTACTAGACCGCGTCCACTGACGAGTCACTTGTAAAACAGTTGTCAGTTGTCATCATGGAAGTTTACGGTAATTTTACCACAAAAATATTCACAAATTTAAAGAAGTGATCTAACAGAAAGCTTAGATACAAAGTGAGCATTTTACTCAGTGTATTCGGAAATCCAAGCTAAACATCACCGCTTGACAAGGCCAGATATTTATTATCCCTTGTTTCGCGAACCCGCCGAATGAACAGAAGCCGAAAATGAAATAAAAATAAAATTTTATGTCAGCTTAATTTCTCGCGCCCGCCGACTAGTAAGTGCAAAAAATCTTCATATTTTTCCGCCCGCTGCATAACAAACCCAAGTTGCATTTTCGTGGGAGTATCATGATCAAAGTACCGAAGTTTCGCGCAGATGAGAAACAAGGTAATACATGGAATAACATTTTATTTCATTTCTTCTCTCTGATCAATGATCTCACTTACAATTCTTTGAGAATCACACAAATCTAATGTAAAAAAAATAATTTTTGTTTTCGCCCTCCTCAAAAAAATTGCCTTATAAAAACTCGAGAAACAAGGAATAAAAAAGTCTGGCCCAATGGTAAATAAGAAGGAGTCTAATTGGCATCCAGTGTAATAGGTAGAGGTATGTGACCATAAGGTCAAACCCCGTTATAAACCACCCCAACTGAAGAAAATAACAGACGGCGAGTTTAAATATCCCCCTCCCCGACAAAAGTGAAAGTAAATGTATTTGAGTGTATAAGAATACCCGTGAAAGCCCAGAATAACTGGACTAAACACTGACGAGGTCAAATTCAACATACCCAATTTGTCATTGTTAGTGCCGCAGTGCATAAACAAAAGGTAACTCGGGGTATTTATAAAATTGCGCCAATGCCTTCAAGTGGACGCGCCCATGAAGGGTCTCTGTCATCGTAGTTTTGCATCTACTGATGCATTCTGGGCGTGAAATTCTCAATGACTATAACAGAAATCATACGATACGGTGAAAATATTGCCATTTTTCGAAAGACCCGAATGTTACTTCTATTGTTGTCTGTTTTATAATGATTAAAGTATGCAGACCGTTTAATTTTAATTTGCGCTTCGATTATAAACGTATTTAAAGTGCGAGACGAAACAACCTGAGGCTAATAGATTTTTCTAAAACTAGTTTTTTTTTTTACATCTCCATGACGACAATTTTGCAGTTATTTTACTTTATACGGCTAATTATGGTTTTTAATTTGCTTATTGTCCGTGGGTTTAGCGAATTAGATATAAATACATCTGACATTTAGCTGAACAAATGTGATGAAATCCTTCTTTCATGTACTGTTCTAGGGATTTTTTAAAAAAAATCCGGCAATAATAATATATCAACCATGCAATCATTTTCAGTAGTTGTTTGCGATATTGGGGCAGCCATCTTGAATCGTAACAAA